GCACCACAGCTCAAAGGCGTCAATTCTCCTATCCTCCCTAGTCATTGTCCAACTCTCTGATGCATAACAAGTGATTGCAAAAACCATGGCCTGTACACCGTTCTCAATTTTGAACCATGCAGTGTTACCCTGCTTTGTTCTGACAACTGCCTCTTGGTCCAAGTATAGGTTTCGCATTAGCACGATTAAATGTTCGGGGATTCCCATTCTTCTCAGAGTCAGCCACAGTTTGTTACCATCAGTACTTCCAAGGAGCACTTTTTACAAGGTATTTTTTTTTCAGCATGTCAAATTATAGTTAATATTTTTTTACCAACACTCTAATTCAAAGTTATCATTCTTAGGTCTTCCTTATTCAATATCTTTCTTTCTTATTTATTTATTTAAATAAATACATACATACATCCTTCTTTCTTATTTATTTACATACATATGAAAGAAAGAAAGAAAGAAAGAAAGATAGAAAGAAAGATATTGAATAAGGAAGACCTAAGAATGATACCTTTGAATTAGTGTTGGTAAATAAATACATACATACATCCTTCTTTCTTATTTATTTACATACATATGAAAGAAAGAAAGAAAGAAAGAAAGATATTGAATAAGGAAGACCTAAGAATGATACCTTTGAATTAGTGTTGGTAAAAAATATTGACTATAATTTGACATGCTAAAAAAAAAATAAACAAGATACCTTGTAAAAAGTGCTCCTTGGAAGTATTGATGGTAATATTCTGTCTCATGTGTTTTGGACATATGATTAAGAGGGTCGAGTTTCGCGAGAAAGACATCATACATGGCAAAACAGATGGTGAGTTTTTGTCTCAAGAATTTTGGGCATGTTACAGGAGGAGCCAATTCGTAGAGAAGGACAGCATGCTTGAAAAAGTGGAGGGTTAGATGGATTGACACAATCCATCCAAGATGGATTGACACAATGTAAAAAGAGCAAAGACTGTTGAGTTGGCTAAGTGTGATCTCCACTAACTCCACAAGAGGGAACTGTCCCCATTTAAAGTATCTAATTCCCCTGAGGTCAGATATGCCCTCCACGATCTCACACCTCTTTCTACTAATTCCAGTATCAATCCTACTGCCTTACTGGATCCAAACTGCATTGCAATTGCCATGCAGACTGCACAGAAACATGCTTTTGATTATGGGGTTTATTAGGGAAGTTAACAGGTTACAATTTAAGCTGGCAACAGGATACGATTATTTCAGTCAGGAAGGCTTCCAAACTGTGCTCACAGGCCCCTCTACCTTCAGCCTCACCTCGTGATTTTAGGCCAGTGGTCTCTTCGTTCTGACAAGTACACCACATGTCTTCCAACAAGCTTGGGCAAAGGCTCTAGCTTTACTTTTGTGGGGTAACTCTGGTTTAAAGCCACGAGACTGAAAGCTGAGGGCCTATGAGTACAGTTCAGAAGTCATCCTGACTGAGAGACTATTGTTGCCAGCTTCAATTGTAACCTAGTAACTTCCCTAATAACCCCATAACTGTATGTTCCTGTGAAGTCTATGTATCTGTTGCAACAGATTTTTACATAATAGGCAATAAAATCGGTGCTGGAATTGGTAGAAAGAGGTATAGGAGAATGGGGGTGGGGCATGTCCGATTTCATATGAACTGGTTTTGTATTGTGGATGGTTTTAGTGGGGGCAGTGCCATCTGGCCGAGCTAGCAGAGGTTAGACCCAACCATCCTCAGGCTGTCCTTGCTCTTTTTACACACAGTGACTGCAATAATGGTTTTAAACACATTGGAGATTGTGAGGCAGGGTTTTGAGTGATTGTACACAGGGTTCCTATTAGTTGGAGTTGATTCAATGGTAATTAACAGCAGCAACAACTACAATCATTGCAATATTTGGCAGTCTGCTTTCATTAAGATTTACAGAGGTGGAAAACTTACAGAATAATTCTACTGTGTCCTATAAAGTTACTCTGAGTTGGAATCCACTAGACAGCAGTGGATGTAAGAAAATTTAACTCAGAAGGGTAAATGAATTGACAAAAATCATTCAACAAGCAACTAGCAGAACTAGGACCAGAACACTAATTTCCTGCCTTCTAGTCTTGTGCACTGCTTGGTTCAAAATTAGGAAGGGTGTATGCCAGGGATATGTCCTATCTCCATACCTTTTCAACCTGTATGCAGAGCAGATTATCCGAGAGGCTGGGCTCTATGAGGAGAAGTGTGGTGTCAGGATTGGTGGAAGATCTATTAACAATCTGCGTTATGCAGATGACACAACCCTGCTTGCTGAAACTGAGGAGGACCTCATGCACTTACTGCAGAGGGTCAAGGACTGCAGCCTTCAGTATGGACTGAGGCTCAATGGCAGATGACACAACCCTGCTTGCTGAAACTGAGGAGGACCTCATGCACTTACTGCAGAGGGTCAAGGACTGCAGCCTTCAGTATGGACTGAGGCTCAATGTCAAGAAGACAAAGATTCTCACCACTAGACCAATTGGTAGCATCAGGATGGATGGCGAAGAGATTGAGATTGTTCACAGCTTCAGTTTGCTCGGCTCCACGGTCAACACTCTTGGCACCAGCAGCCAGGAAATCAAAAAAACGTATTGTGATGGGAAAGTCAGCTGTTAGGGACCTCTCTAAAGTACTCAAGAGCAACGGTGTCTCTCTGGAGACTAAGGTGCGCCTGATACAGGCCATGGTTTTTGCAATCACTTGTTATGCATCAGAGAGTTGGGACAATGACTAGGGAGGATAGAAGGAGAATTGATGCCTTTGAGCTGTGGTGCTGGAGAAGGTTACTGAATGCACCATGGACTGCCAAGAAAACAAACAGATTCATCCAAGGAGCCTGGGGCTTCGTCTGACATACTTTGGACAGGTCCTTGGAGAGGGACATCATGCATGGTAGGGTGGAGGGACAGCGCAGGAGGCGAAGACCCTCTATGAGGTGGACTGATTCAATGACTCGGGTACTCGGGATGGGTGTGTTGGAGGCAATGCGATTGGCACAGGATAGAGCAAGGTTTAGGGTTGTTGTACATAGGGTCGCTATGAGTCGCAAACGATTCGACGGCACATAACAACAACAGCAACAACAGTCTTGTGCACGAGCAGTCAAGAAATAAAGAGAAGACGCCTTGTACAGGGAAAATCTGTAGTTAGGGATCTTTCAAAATTATTGAGGAGCAGTGATGTCAGCTTGAGAACTAAGGTGCATCTGATTCAGGCCATAGTCTTTATGATTACTAGCTATGCATCAGAGACCTGGACAAAGAATTAGGATGAAAGAAAAAAAATTTACACCTTTGAGCTGTGGTGTTAGAGAAGAGCACGGAACATCCCATGGATGGCCAAGAGAACAAATAGATATGTCTTGGAGATGGTGTAGCCAGAGTGCTCTTTGTCAGCAAGAATGATGAGGCTTTGCCTCACATACTTTGGACATATTGCTAGGAGGTACTATTCCTTGGAGATGGACATGATGTTGGGAAGGGTGGAGGGTCGGTGAAGGAGAGGAAGACCCTCAGCCAGGTGGACTGACACGGTGACTGCTGCAATGGGCTCTTGTGTGTCAGGAAGTGTGAGGATGTCACAGGACAGAACAGGGCTCAGATCTTTTGTTCATAGGTTTGCTATGTATAAGTCGTGCTTGACTTGATGGCACCGAACAACAACTCTTGTGCAGTGAGGAGATGAGGAGATGTATTGCAACTGTGTAAGTGTTCTGTCTGGGACCTCCCCAAATTACTGAGGAGCAATGATGTCAGTTTGAAGAATAAGGTGCACCTGATTCTTTTCAATCACTTGCTATGCGTCTGAAAGCTAGACAGTAAATAAGGATGACGGAAGAATTATTGATGTCTTTGAAATGTTGTGGTGGAGAAGAGTACCTAATATCCTATGGAGTGCCAAAGGAACAAACATATATCACGCAGAAGTGCAGCCTGACTGCTTCTTGGAGGCAAAGATCAGAAAGCTTCATCTCACATACTTTGGGAATGTTGACAGGAGAGGCTGTTCCTTGGACAGGAACATTATGATTGAAAAGGTGGAAGGTCAGCAAAGGTGAGGAAGACCCTCAGGGAGATAGATTGACACAGTGACTGTAGCAATGGTCGTACATGTGTCAGAGATGATGAGGATGGCACAGGATAGGGCAGGGTTCAGACCTGTTGCTCATAGTGTTGCTTCGAGTCATACGTGGCTTGACAGCACATAACAATAGCAGTCCTGTGCATCCCATATTTCCCAATTATTACCCTTTTGCCAAACACAAGCCTATTCAGTGTGAGTAGGGGGACTGCCATAGCAGTGGAAAGAGGCAGGAAAAAAAGTGGAAGACAAATTTTCAGAAACCAGGAGCCCAAACCTCATTCCATCTCCAAGGCTAGGGAGCGCAGATGATGTGGGGCTGTGGTTTGGGAAATCTCTTACCTTAGTGGGAAAATCTCCATCCTGGAAGCTGAGGAACTCAGTCTGCAGCCAGCTGGCAACTCGAGGATCTTCACAGCCCTTTGTGGCGAGTCGACCACACCAGAAGTCCATTCGGAGCCCTCCATACATATCCAGTCCGTAAAAGCGGCCTCCTTGTTTAGGCCCTGCCTATAGTATAGGGCACAGGGGAGAGGTGGAAGCTTCCTTCCCACGGCCTTGTTCTGCCTGAGCCTGTGGTGTTCCCCACTGCAGCTGTCTGCTAGGTACCTGGGTGCCGATGGATGTGCTCTGGGATGAGAGGAAGGGGCTGATGAAGGCTGTTTTGTGGGTGTTGTCGCACACCTGTCGCTGTAGGTTGGCCTCCGAGTGGCACTGCTCCAGTTTGAGGGAGCAGAAGTCACAGAGGGGACAGTTAGTTGTGTGTCGCCGTCCAAGATTGTCACAGACCTGAGGTGGGAATGTGGGAGAGAGGCTGAGGCTGAGACTTTGCAGCACAACTCAGCCCTCAGAGTGCCCAGGACCTGCAGAGTGTCTGCATTAAGCTTCTTCAGAAACCTTCTTCAGCTTTTCTCACTGCTCCCTTCCCCAATGGGTCCTCAAGAAACTTGCCTCAGTGTGCTATTTCAGTACTCTCTTCTTGGGTGACTTATCCACTTCTGGGTAACCATCATTTTTGCTGCAGGGGACATCTAGGGACATCTAGATCTTTATCACCAGATTTGATCATTTTCCAAAACTCCAAATCCTCCTTGCCATGTGCCTGACAGATGCCTATCAATGGCTGACCTATAATAACCGCTAACTTTGCCTATCTAAAAAGAACTCATACACTCTCCTTCAAATCTGCTAATGCTAACAACTGATATTTATAAAAAAGCGATAGTGCTGGGCACCACTCAGTCCTCACAAGAAATCAGTAATAGCTTAACTGCACTGCCATTGGCTCCTTCCACCTCTTGGTGGACAGAGTAGAACAGATTTCTGAGGTTATAAATCTTAACCAGGGCAGACTGCCTCTTCTTTGTCCCTCAGAGCTGCTCATTCTTAACTCCTTATAAAATTACCATTCTTCCTTCATCCAGAGTCTTTGCAAAATATATTCCCCTACCAGGAATTTTCTACCACCTCTTTTGCCCCGCTAACTTATTGTCATCTTCAGGTTTCTAGGTCAGCATCAGTTTCTTTAGGAAGCATTCTCTGACCCTCCATGGGAGAGGTGTCCTCACAGTTGGTCCTTTATGCACTGTGTACTTACTTCAAGCCCAGTATTTATCCCATGACGCTGTCCTGGCCATTTTCTCATCTATCTCTCCCATTGGATTCCATGAGGACAGAGGTTTGGATCAATTGTAATCACTGCTCAGATCTCAAATCCCTAGTACAGAGTTGGTGCCAAACCAATATTTGTTGAACACATGGATGCATGGATGGTCCACTAGCCCTCAATAAATGATTGTTAAATTAGATTCAATGAAACCTAAAGATAGACTTGCTGGGTGCTGAGGGCACATTAAAATTTGACTGTCTATACAGGCTCCCTGGAACAGACAATACGAACTCTCTGGGGGGTGAAGTGAATCTAAAGCAATACCAGATTCTAACAATGGTGAACAAGATCAAGACTCAAGGCCTAACAACTCAGAGAGCTGAAGAACGAATTCCTGGAATGGATTCCCGAATCTGGGACTTGATTAAGGTGGGCTGGAAAAAAGATCTTTCCAGAGAAAGGATCCCCGCTGGGAGTAAATCCCTCCCATGGTACCTCAGGCTCTCTTTAACTGTCCATCCCCACGTGCAGAGGCTGTCCAGTTAGCATATATACACTAAACAGCATCAAAGGCATACCAACTTCCCAAAACCGAGGACTTCCTCCTCCATGTACTGCCAGGCCTTGGCTGTGGGAGTCATGATGCAGGTGTTCTCCACAATCGAGTAGCACAGCACCAGCATGGCCTCAGTGTGGGGCAGCTGCAGGAGGCTGCAAGAAGACAGCACTGGCTGGTGGGGAGTAGGCCAGAGGGCTGAGAGAAAGCCATGTCCACTTTCTTCCCCTCCCTTGGCCGCTAGTCTTGGTCACACACATTGAGCATACTTAGGAGGTTTTCGGTACCAAGTGGCTCCTTTTACAAATGAGGAACTGAAGGCCATAAAGGAGAAGTGACTTTGGCAAGGTTGCAGAGCTAATTAGGGCCAGAGACAAGAATATTCCCCAGGTCTGGAAGTGCCAGATATACAACGCTCATACCAATAGATCACGTAGAGATAGTGCATCAAACACAGCACTTAAACCAATGATAGGCACAGGATGGGTGAGCTAAGCAGTTGCTAAGTGTGTCTGAGGCCCCAGCACGTCTAAGGGAGTTTGAATGCTCAAGCTGGTGAGATGGGCCTCTTACTCCCTAAGAAGACAGCAAAAAAGGCACAGTCAGTGAGGGTGACAAGAACGTCTTTTACCTGCCACGGTTTGGATTTTTCAGGGTGTCCTTCTCATACCCTTCAGTCACGTCATCTATTTCCTCAGCTGATCGAATGAGTTCTTGGACATTCTCCATTATAGGAGTAGACTCCACTTCCCGCACCCGGGGAGTGAAGTAGGAAGGGTTGGAAGATAAAGATTCAGAATGAAACTTAGACTCTGGGATCATCTGCAGTCCAGACACTGCCTCCACTCCCTCCTCTGTCTCCTGTCCTTCATGCTTTGTCTCCTCTATTTGCTCCTCCTCTTCCTCCTGCTCTTCCTCCTGTTCCTCTTGCTCTTCTCGTTCCTCCCCTTGCTTATGCTCTAGCCCTTGCTCCTCCTTGTGCTGTTGCTTGAGACCTGGCACTTGCTCCTGACCTCCCAAGTTCAAGGGTGACTGCAACAGCTCCTCCACGTTGTTGTTAAGCCTCTCAGGCCACGGCTGGAAGGCCTTTCGCTCTGTGGCTGTAACAGGGTTTGGGAAAATCCAAGAGAAAGGTACAGTTAAGTTTACAGTAGCCTCTGAGTGTCTGTATTCACAGGACGTACACATAAATGCAGGCAAAAGAAAGCAGGCTAAATCACACTCATAAAGGGAGCTCTGGTGGCCTAGTGGCAAGAAGCTACACTGCAATCTGGAAGGCATGCAGTTCGACTCCACCAGATGCTCCATCGGAGAAGGAGGGGCAATTTCCTTCTGTGCCAGTCAGATTCAATTTGATGGTACATAATAAGAAAGAAAATTTAAAAAAGGATGCATCCCTGACACACTCCTTTTTTGATAAAAAAGAAAAAACACACTCATATGCACACACACACATACTCATACAACCCCTCTCCCCAAAACACAGACAAGAATATGAGGATTCAAATGAAAGAGTAACACCATGGCAAAAGTGTGATGCTCGTGGCATGTCTCAATTTCCTACCTCCCCTTACAAATGACCCTTAGCCCTAACCCCCACCTCAGATACTGCTTGAACAATTTACAACTAATCTTTTCTAAAGTAACAATGTTAGCTTGAAAGTCCCAGGGGAATTCCTAATAGAAGGATATCTTTGTTATTTAGAGAGAGAGAGAGAGAGAGAGAGAGAGTGTGTGTGTGTGTGTGTGTAAATGGATTGAGGATAGAATTACAAGAAATTTTAGGAGAGATTTTTAGGATAGAAAAGCTCTCACTTATTACTCACATGAAACAGGCTCTTCCTTATATAAACAGCTTTTTACCTGCTTCTCCCTATCTCCCTCACCTTCTCAGCTGTTGTTAATGTCATGGAGTTGAGCATGACTATAGCAACCCTATGAACAAAAGATCTAAACCCTGCTCTAACCTGCGCCATCCTCACACTTCCTGACACATGAGAGCCCGTTGCAGCAGTTACTGTGTCAGTCCACCTGGTTGAGGGTCTTCCTCTCCTTCACTGACCCTCCACCCTTCCCAGCATCAAGTCTTTCTCCAAGGAACAGCCCCTCCTAGCAACATGTCCAAAGTATATGAGGTAAACTCTCATCATCCTTGCCTCCAAAAAGCACTCAGGCTGCACCCTCTCCAGGACCTATCTGTTCATTCTCTTGGCTGTCCATGGGATGTTCAGTGCTCTTCTGCAACACCATAGCTCAAAGGCGTCAATTCTTTTATCATCCCTATTCATTGTCTAGGTCTCAGATGCATAGCAAGTGACTAAAAAGACTATGGCCTGAATCAGATGCACCCTTCCAATTTCCCTACCATTCACGCCTTAAACCTTGACTTCAGAGACTTGTGGAAAGAGTTGCTAGTAGTTGGCCAGGCCAGGTGCCTGGATGATGTTACCTGTGGCAGATGATGATACACGAGAGGTCAACAGGGTGGGTGCTACTTCAGCTGGACTGTCAATCTGCTTGATAGTGTTAGATGAAAGAATGGAGATGGGCTGGGAGCACCGGACCCTCTACAGGAAGAGAAGGAAAGTGGAAAGTGAAAATATTCTTCCCTAAGGGTACATTTCTCCTATTCCCTTGCCCAGCATTTCTCATCTTTCACAGTTTCTAGGCAGGGATGAAAGAATATGATTCTTTTTTTTTTAAATAAGGAATATGATTCTTGCTAGAAGCCTCTAAACTTGAGAAAGGGTTCCCCTGTAAGATAAAACCCAGGTTTTGAATGGTCACATTCTTGTCTTCACTCTTCTGCATTTGGCTTGAATCAAACTATGGACCTCATAGAAGAAATGGAAGAAAGGCTAATCTCTTTTCCCTCTACCCATCTCTCTTCTCTACTTTTCTCATGACAGTATTGTTCGGAGAGTTTAAATGTTCAAGGTGAGACTGTATTCATACAAAAAAAGTGGGTAAATGATTGGAAAAGTGGTGGCTCTTCAATTGCCACCACCTCTGTAGGCCTCACCTTGGCATAGTAGACATGGTTGGAGCAACGATACTGAGCAAACTGGCAGAAGGACTCAAACCATGAGGCATAAGGGAGGTCTGAACAGACAGCACCTGAGAAAGAGCAGGGGAAGAGAGGGTAAACACCCAAGGGGAAAGTTCAGAGGAAGGATAGCTGGCTTTGGGTACCTGAAGTAAAGAGGAGGACAGAGGCTCAAATTAAGATTGCAGCCATATCATTCTTGTCTCTGGTTAGCACAGGGCTTCTGCCTTGTGCACCGAGTGACCCCTGGTTCCTCAGTCTCTCCACTAACACGATCGATCCTTACCATCAGGCACCAAGCCATGGTTTTCATACTGGTCCAGCTGGACGAGTGTGGGGTTCCGGCAGCCATGGGATGCACGGAGACGGCAAGCAGTCTCTGCTTTCCAGGTTGGGGTCAGCAGTGCAAAGAAATGTTCATACTCGGTGACAGACAGAGGACTGCCTGGAGAGGAGCTCGAAGTCGAATCTTCAGCTGGGGCAGGTGCTAGATTTAGAAGGAGCACTGCAGGGGACAGATGGATGGATGGACCTAACTCCCAAACCTGTCTAGGGCAAAGGTTCACCCGTATTAGCAGCTAGAGTCCCAGGTAGAGAGGGAATTGAGGGGGGTCCCTGGGCAGATAATCTCTGCTGACCAGTAGTGAAGAGATTCAGGGGACAAAGGCCAAAAAGAAGGAGCCAGGGAGGATCTCAGAAGGTAGGGAAGCCAACCGATGTGACTACCCGTAGAAATAATTTCGAAAACTGTAGAGGGGGAGTATAGGCCTGAACACTAGGTGAAGGACCGCAGGAGAAGGCGGGAACCTCTCACCCTTCAGGAATGAGAGAAGGAAGCCAGCAGCTAGCTTCTTCATGGCCCCAGATCGGCTGGAGAGTCTCAAACCAAAAAAGCCTCCAACGTGCCAGACAGTAAAGGGACAATCTGCAGAGCGCAGCATAGGGCGCGGGGAGTGTGAAGGTGCGACCTCCTCGACGTCACAAACGTAGGGGCGGGGCTTAGGGCGCAAAGGGGCGGGGCCACAGGGGATGCTAAAGACCCTTGGGGAGCAGGCGGCAGAGAACTGGGTTGTCGAGACTGATGAGCCACGATTATATATCAGGCTGGTGATGGGGTGATGGGTTTGGGGTCGGGGTGAGGGAAATTGGAAGAATCTGGTCTGAAAAACAATGTATTAGAATTTTGTAAATAAACTAGTATAAAAAAATTTAAAAATTGTAAAAAAAAGAAAAATGCTGATGGCAAAGCAAACATTTGCTTAGTATTATGAAATAAAATTAAACCTTTTGCTTTATATAGAGCTCTCTTCTTACCCAGGACACTAATGGGAATTGTATTAAACATTACAAACCTATGTACGGTATAACGGTTTAGGGCTGTTGTACATAGGGTCGCTATGAGTCGCAAGTGACTCGACGGCACATAACAACAACAACAACAACATTTCATAACTATATAATCTTTAATGCCTGTGGCTATGCCTTGAACTCTAACTTTTAAAAGTAGCTTGACTGTTTCACATAGTTGTATTTCAGTAATCAAGTTAATTGAAGTACTTGAAACTTGTTTCAGAAAACTTGCTCTGTTTCCAAGACTACAGTTTTCTATTCATTGGTCACTGATCTTGTGATGGTGTTAGCAAAGTTTTATGCTTTGGTAACCTTTGAATATATCCTACTCTCACAAGCTTTGTGAATTCTGACACAATCATCTATAAGTCAATCAAAAGTTTTCTATCTAATCAATTCTGATTCAATAAACCCTATAGGAAAGTGTAGAACTGGCCCATAGGGATTCCTGGGCTGTAGATAGATCTTCCTGAAAGCAAAGAATACCAGAAACATGTTTATTTGTGTTTTCTTGACTATGCAGTGAGCCTTGATTATGTGGATCACAATATATTGCAGATAATATTGAGAGGAAGGAGAATTTCAGAATACTTAATTGCACTTATGTAGAACCTGTACATGAACTGAGAAGCAATTGTTTTGCTAGAATAAGGAGATACTGCTTGTTTAAAATCAGGAAAGGTGTGTATTGGGTTGTATCCACTCACCACACTTATTCAACATATATGCTGAGCAAATCTGAGAAGTTGGACTCTATACAGAAGAATGTGGCATCAAAATCAGAGAAAGACTCATTAACATGCAATATACAGAAATGTTGCTTGTTGCAAGTGAAGCAGTCTTGAAGCACGTATTGACAATCAGACTAGACCCTTCAGTATGGATTACACCTCAATATAAAGAACACAAAAATCTTCAAGTTGTTATGTGCTGTCAAATCACTTGCAACTCATAGGGACCCTCTATGTACAATAGCCCTGAAACCTGCTCTATCCTGTGCCAACCTTATTGTCTCTAATACACCTACAATCATTACCCCAGTCACTGAATCAATCCATCTCATTGAGGGTTTTCCTCTTTTGCACTATCCCTCCACCCTTCCAAGCATGATGTTCCTCTTCAAGGACTCCTTGCAACATGGCCAAAGTATGTCAGATAAAGTCTCAGAATCCTTGCCTCTAAGGAACTGCTTGATTCCACCTTCTCTAGAACGAACCCATTTGTTCTCCTGGCAGTCGTGGTATACTCAGTAATCTCCTCCACCAAAACTCAAAGGCATCAATTCTCTTTCTATCCTCCCTAGTCATTGTCCAGCTTTCTAATGCATAGCAAGTAATTGTGAAGAATATGACCTGGGTCAGGCACACCTTAGTCTTCAGATTGATGTCTTGCTCTTCAGTGCTCAGGAGAGGTCTCTAACAGCAGACTTTCCCAATGCAATTAGTCTTTTAATTTCCTGGCTCCTGGTACCAAGAGTGTTGATTGTGGAGCCAAACAAACTAAAGCTGTTCATAATGCCAATCTCTGCACCATCTATCATAATGCTTCCAATTGGCTCAATGGTGAGAATCTTTGTTTTCTTGATGTTGCGCTTCAATCCATATTTAATGCCACAGTCCTTGACCTTCTGCAGCAGGTGCTCCAGATCCTCCTCCGTTTCAGCAAGTAGGGTTGTATCATCTGAATAATTCAGGTTGTTGATGACCAATAAATATCATGCTAAGTGCATAAAAGATGGAAATTGTCAAGAATCTCATTTTACTTGAATCTACATCTGTGGAAGCAGGCAACAAATCAAATGACATATTGCATTAGACAAGTCTGCTCTCAAGGACTTCTTAAAAGTGATATCAGAGGGAGCTCTAGTGGCCTAGTGGCAAGAAGCTATGCTGCGATACCAAAGGTGTGCATTTGAATCCATCAGATGCTCCACTGGAGAAGGAGGGGCAATCTCCCCTTGTACCAGTCAGATCTGATTTGACAGTACACAACAAGGGGGAAAAAGTGCTATCAGGCACAGATGTAATTTTACAGATTAAAGTGTCACAAGCTCAAGCCATGGTATTTTCAATGTTTCAATTCATATGCATGTGAAAGTTGAACAATGAATAAAGAAGATCGAAGAACTGATGTGGTGTTGGCACTAACAGTATTTAATATACCATAGTCGGCCAAAAGAATAAACACATATGTCTTGGGAGAAAGTGCAGCCAGGGTACTCCATAGATGCAAGAATTGTAAATCTTTGTCTCACTTACTTGGGGCATGTTATTATCAGGAGGGATCAGTCCTTGAAGAAGGACAGCAGGCTTGAAAAAGTAGAGTGTCAACAAGCAGAGGAAGACCCTCAACAAAGTGGATTGACACAGTGACTGCAGTAGAGTGCAGGGACTACATAGTGACTATAGTGGCACAGGATCTGGTGAGGTTTCAATCTGCTGTACTTAGGGCAATCAAGAATTGAAATTGACTGGATAGCCCCCAAGAATGACAATATTTACAGAGCAGATAGATCTTTCTTCCCCCAGTGACAAGTGGATTCAAACCACTAACATTCCTGTTAGAAACCAAATGCTTAAATATTTACATAAGCACGCTAAAAATTGTGCTTCATTGGAACACTAATTAGGTAAGACTTGTTGCCCAATGTGCAGCCTACCTCAAACCCACTGCTGTTGGCTGGATTCTGACTCATTGTGACCCACCATTGTGGTTCCAGTGATATAAATCTTTACAGGCGGAGACTTGCAGCTCTCTCCCATAAAACAGTTGGTATATTAAAACCTGTAACCTTTTGGTTAGCAGGGCAACACGTAGCATGTTTTGCCACCAGAAGTTCATAAAACCTACATTATTGTTGTTAGGTGCCATTGGGTTGATTACAACTCCTAAACTATAAAGAACAGATTTTTAAATTTTTTTTTATTTTATTATTTTGTGTGTGTGTATCATCAAATCGGATCTGACTGGTACCAGGGGAGAGTGCCCCTCCTTCTCCAGCAGAGCATCTGGTGGATTTGAACTGCATACCTCTTGGAATGCAGTGCAGTAAAGAACAGATCTTAATGTGCCCTGTTCTATGTCATCTATGATCTATGATATACTCAAGTCCATTGTTGTAGTCACTATGTCAACACATCTTGCTGAAAGTTTTTCTGATCCTTCACCTTTCCCTGCAAGAGATCTTTTTCCAAGGACTGTTCCCTCGTGACAATATGCCCAAAGCTTATGAGACAAAGTTTCACTATCTTTGCCTCTAAAGAGCAATCCTTAGACTTGCACTTCCTCTTACATAGACTTGTTTGTTCCTTTGACAGTCCATAGGATACTCAGTACATTTCTCCAACACCACAATTCAATGATGCACAGGAAGAAATTGAAGAGACCAGGTAAGTGGGCATGATGATTTCAACAATGGAATTGCATGTGTCAGAGATTGTGAGGATGGCACAGGATAGGACAATGTTCAGATCAGTTATTCACAGGGTCGCTATGAGCCATACTTGACTCAACTTCCCCTAAAAAAACAAGAATGTGGTGTAACTTCTATGGAAGGCAGTATGGCACTATCTCAAAAAGTTGGAAATAGAAATACTATTTGACCCAGCAATTCCACTACAGTAAAGATACCCTAAAGAAACCAGAACTGTCACCCAAACAGATACATGCACACTCATCTTTATTGATGCTTTATTCACAATAGTAAAGAGTTGGAAACATCAAGTGCTCATCAACAAACGAATGGATAGAGAAGCTGTGGTATAGTCACACTAGGGAGTATTATGCAGCACTGAAAAACAAAAAACCTCATGAAATATTATACAAAATGGTTGACCATGGAGGACATTATCCTCAGCGAAATATCTCAGTCACAAAAAGGAAAAAAAGACAAATAATGCCACTGTTATAAAACAGGACTGACATGAAGGTTTGGGGGAAAACTAAGAAAAGAGGAGATAAATAATGTGCATAATACTGAAATGGAAAAGGGAGAGAACTACATAAAAGGAATATATGATTAGGTATTATTGACATGACAAGAGTTCAGAATAAGAGCTGCATAGTAAAGTGGACTGGTTTTGGGGGGGGAGCTGTATAACAATGAAATACATATCTTTTTCCAAACAAAAACATGAACTGGGGGGAGAAGGAACAGGGAGGAAAATGTGCAACAATGAATGAATGGAAATCCAAGTTCTCTATAAACTTTCATTAAAACATCAATGGGGGCGACAAAGGCAAGAAAAACCCAACACCCCAACCCCCAAAAACCCAACCCAACATGGCTTAGATCAGTTGTACCTTACTTAGTCTTCAAACTGACATCTTTGCTCATTTGAACTTTGAAAAGGTCCTGTGGTGTCAAGAGTTTATTGTTCAAAATGGCTTTCCTAGCCATTGAGTTGGACTTTGCCACATGGATGGGCAGGAGCATACAGAGTGTTAGTCTGTTCACAAGGGGATTAGCTAGTCTTGCCCTCAGTAGGTTTAAACAGAACAATCCCAG